AAACCCCCCCAAAAGCCCCGTTTCCGCCGAAAATCGGCCTTCCCGTTCCAGCCGCCGCAGGCGGAAAGCTGACGGGGCGGCCGAGCCGTGCGTGGGGTTCAGGCCTCCCGTCGGGCCCCCGCACCCCGCCACGGGCCCCCCCGTCCCGGCGGGGTTTCTCCGGCCTCCTGTTGCCTTTCCCTCCCTGCGTCGGTTCCCCCGCGGCCGGTCCGGGCCTGCGGGAGAGGCCGGGGCACATTAATAACGACGATTAAGCGACTTGATCCCCTCCTGACAGACGCGTAACTCCGGGGCCGGGCCGTGGGTTTCCCACTGGCGTCACTCTCGTGGGCGAGGGGTAGGTGTGGGGTGTGGTAGCTCAGAGGCTGGACAAAAGTTCATCTTTTTTTTGCGTGGGGTGCTTTTATGCAGGCGAAGATGCGTTTTGGGGGGTTTTATCCTTCCCGCGTTATGTTTTGGCCTCGGGGCTGCCTGTGCTTGAGCTGTTCTTGTGTTGGCTGCTGTGGACCCTCCTGTAGATACTCCGGGAGTGGGGCAGAAACACCCCAGAAAAACCTCGGGTGTCTCCAAGGGGTGTCACCTGGGGGGTGCTTCGGGCAGCCTTGACCCTCAAATCCCCTCTTTTCCGTGAAGCCTCAGTGAATAAAGCAAAGATGTGAGTCTGTGTCTGCTCAGGGAGCACGTTTCAGCATCTCCATCTGTCATAGAAGATGCTTTTATTTCTGGCTCTTCTTGCCAGGATTTTTGGCAGGTGCTGTTTTTTTCTCGCTGGTTGTTTTGACCCTGGAGTACACACGAGCACGTGGGCTGTTCGTCTGCGAGGTTCGCCAGACCCGAGGAGCTTGTTGTTCCCCGTGTTTTTATTTGAGTCGGGGAAGCAGCTGACAAACAGTTGGTGAAACAAGTTGGGCAGGTCTTGGTCCAGGCTGGTAGAGGAGGCGGCTGTTTCTCTTGGGTAAGGCTGTCTGCCGGGTACCGGGAGTTGGGGGGGGTTGAGTGGTCCTGTGCCATCCAAAACCCTCTGGGGATGGTGCTCACTGCGACATGTGAAGATCTGAGCAGACCGTAGGGGGCTGATCTTGCTCCTGGCGGTAGCTGGGAGGCTGATCTTGCTCCTGGGAGATGATGCCAGCACTCTAAATGTGCTCTGATCTAATTAGTCCTGGGTGGTAAGCGGGGGTTAGGGCCTGTCACGGGAAGTGCAGTAGTTTTAGTGATTTGTGCTGGACTGGGAACAAACACCATCGACTGTCGCGTCTGAAGGCGGTGTCGTGGGGGCTGTTCGCTCTGCAGGAGCCACCCGCCTTGCAGGTGATCAGGATCTGGGAGGTGACAATCAGCACTTGGCGCTGGCAGGAGGCCGCCGTGGTGGGGACAACGCGGTGGGGACAGCGTGGTGGTCCTGGCTGGCTGCTTCGGGGAGGGAGGGGGATGCCGTCGCTGAGGGGGGGCACAGGCTCTGGGAGGCAGCGCGGGGCTGGGTCTCGGGCCAGCGCCTGAACGCTCCAGTTTATCCCTAAATGGCTCCATAAAAGAGGGCTGGACCTTTTATTAGTGCTGTAAAGCCTGTGCTGCAGCGTGCCAGGGGCCGGCGTTTCCTTCTTTCCCGTCGGAGCAGATGTGGGTCAGGCTCCTCCTCGGCTCTGCTGGCAGCCGGGAAGGGATGCTGAGGCTGCGCATCGCCCGGCCGCCCTCTGCCCACGTCGTTACAGTCACAGAAATAACTTTGGCTTTGAGGTGTCACAGAAAGAGCTAATTTTAACACTTTTCAACACCCCACGCGCGCATCCCCACTCGCACGCATCTGGTGCTGCGACGTGGAGGGTGTTTGGTGCTTTCTGACTCTCCAGCCTTGCCAGGCCGGGGATGGAGTGGGACTGACCCAGGGCCTTAAACACCAAACCCTTCACATACTCTTTAATTTTCCCCCAAATAGCTGGTCCTGCTGGAGCACAGTTGCCAGGGGGTAGGAGGGGTTTATTTTCCTGCCTTACCTTTGTCCCTCTGTCCCACAGGTGCCAGTGTCTGAGTCCCTCTCGGTGTATGTGTGGTAACAACATGTCTGTCCCCCTCCTCGCTGATGCAGTGACTGTCTCAGGGGCAGAGCGGGAGACTGCCGCGGTAAGGCTCGGACCCCTCCTGCCTCACCTGCTTCTTCCCTTTTAGCAGTCTTGAAGATAAGGAGCTGCTTCTGTGGGGTTTAGAGGAACCATGAGCTGAGCCCACAATCCCTCAGCTCCTCAGGTGCACGTCCTGATGTATCAGGAGGGATGCAAGACCTTGTCTTGCTGGGGAAAAGTAACTGTCCTTTGGGCTGGGCTGTTTGTTTCTGGTGCTTGGTCCAGGGTGGCAGCACAGGCGCAGCCTTGCAGCTAGGCTTGACCTGCAGGGAAGTCAGTGGGAGATGGAACTGATTTGGTTATTTTAAAGTTTTTAAAAGCAAATCTCCCCCAAAGAAAATCCTCTGTTCCTTCCCTGGGACCAAGCAGGCTGCCTTCCCTCTGCTCCCCACCACTTAGGGGTTGCTCTAGCCTTAGATTAAAAGCCTGTAGGCGTGGGTTTTGTGAGACTTTGGGCAGGCTCAGCCTCCTCTCAGCGTGGTGCCGGGCAGCCTGGCGGGACGGTCCCTCACCCCCCGTCCCCCTGGGCAGCCAAGGGGCCACCGACACCCACGGACCTGGCCGTGACAGCAGACTATGATGATGATGATGATATGCCCGTTCCACCCATCCGTCATGCTCAACGCTGCAGAGACATCTCATTAGCATCAGCTAATTTCTGCCTGTTTTGAGTCTCTTCTAGTTAGTGACTAAGTGGCCTTTTGCCGCCTCCCTGCGAGCCCAGCCCTGCCTCTCTCCCAGGGCACCGGCTGTCGCACTAGCTAATTCTTTTGTTTTTCTGCTTAATTTAACAGGTCATTTTTTTACATGGCCTTGGAGACACGGGGTGAGTATTCCTGGAGCCGACTCTGGCTGTGACGTGGGCTTTGCTGAACACAAACCCAGGCCTGGCCGTTTGCTGCCAGTGCCGGTGCTGCTTTCCCCGGGGGCAGCTCCAAGATTTGTCTGGGGCTTTGAACTCGACCCTGTAGCCGTGCCTGCGCCACCCTCGCAGGGAATCACCGGCCAGCAGCTGTCTGCACTTGAATATTTATGATCCCGGCAGCCTGGCAGCCCCCTGCCTCCTGCGGGTTTGATTTTCTGCTTTCTTTAAGACAAGCAGATAAGCACTGCGGTTTTTGCAGTCCTTGGGAGGGCTGGGAGTTGGGTTGTAGCTACGCGAGTGCATCTCTCAAATGTGCAAGGCCACCTTAAAGGACAGCATGAGATACAGCAGTAACAAAAGGCTTCTACCGGCACAGGAGATTCTCCCTCCTCCCCTGCTGACAGCGGCTCCTCTGCCTCCCGCTGCGGGGCTTTGTGTGCTGCTCTGCCCTGCCACAGAGGAGATCTGTGCTGGGGATTGGCTCTGGGATTCAGGCTGCTGGGGTGGGCAGAACCCAGTAAAATAACATCAGGGCAGGAGTCCAGCAGCCTTGGAAAAAAACCTGCCCTTGGGGGAAAACCCTCACCTTTGCCAGCATCCTCCAAAATGCAAAGGCAAGCCTTGAACTCCCTGCTCTCCTCTCTCCCCAGGCACAGCTGGGCTGATGCCCTCTCCTCCATCCGCCTCCCCTACGTGAAATATATTTGCCCTCATGCGTAAGTGCTGTCCTTGCTTTGGGAAGGGCCTTGGGGGGCCTGGGTGGGCTTTGACACTGGTGCCCGCTGCCAAGACTGTTTGGGGAGGCAGACAGTGGTCTGTGCCCTCACCTACCCATGGGGCTGCGCAGTGAGACTTCATCTCTGGCTGTGGCTGGTTCATGCAGGGCCCCAGCCCTGGAATTTTCTGCCTGCAGGCAGCGGGGTTCCCCACAGAGCTGAGCAGCACAGGAGCTGCTGCTCTGAGTCTGTTTTCAGACAGACCTGCTGTCCCTTGGGAGCCTCGTCCTGCAGCTGCGGGCAGAGGGCCGGTCACCCTGCTCCCCTCGGCTCGGACTTGCTTTTCTTGCACTTGAACTAAAACACCCCAAATTTTTTTTCTCTGCAGGCCCCGGATCCCAGTGACCCTCAACATGAAGATGGTTATGCCCTCCTGGTCAGTGCTGTGGGTGGCAGGGGTGGGTGGGAGCCTTTTGGGGGTGTATTTTGGGGAGTGAGAGGAACGGGGGGGCTGAAGAGCCAAAATATGCTGCCCTGTAGGAGTCAGGGGAAGGACAGAGCACACCCAGCTCCTGCCTCCCACACCCTGGGTGCTGGGAGAGGTTTTGGGACTGACCCTGCTTCTTCTCCCAGGTTTGACCTGATGGGGTTGACTCCGGATGCCCCTGAGGATGAAGCTGGAATCAAGAAAGCTGCGGAAAACAGTAAGTGGCTTTGGGGAGGGGGAAGCACCAATCTCCTGGGCACCTCGCCCTCTCTGGGACAGGAGTGGGCTTCTTCCTTCCACCGCTCCTTCCCTTCTGCTCTCCTCTGATCCCAGCACGCCTGCTCCCTGGTGGAAGCCAAGTGCATTCCACCCCTGGGACCTCTGGGCACCTGCCTCGCCCTGATGTGCTGAGGGTCCTGTGTGTACCCCCAGGCCTCGGGTGCTGTTCTTCAGCTCCCCCCGCCACCCCCCAAACCCTTCACTGACCCTTTTCTCTGCCTTCTCCCAGTTAAAGCAATTATTGAGCATGAGATGAAGAACGGGATCCCACCCAACCGCATCATCCTGGGGGGCTTCTCACAGGTGAGCTGGGCTGCAGGGGGCTGAGGTGGGGCAGACTAAGGGTTGGGGTGTCTAAAGATGGGGTGAGGTGGGTGCTGGGTGAGCTGGGGCTGCAGATCCACACCCCCCCATCCCCGTGGCACTAACAGACCTTCCTCATCCTCTGCAGGGCGGTGCGTTGTCGCTGTACACAGCTCTCACCTGCCAGCACCAGCTGGCCGGCATCGTGGCGCTCAGCTGCTGGCTCCCGCTGCACAAGGCCTTCCCGCAGGTACCCTGCGTCGCCGCGCGTGCCCGCGGGGGGCGTCACTGCGGGGAGCTTTCACATCCAGAGTGAGCCCGGGGCTGGTGTTGGGGCTTAATCCACCTCCCTCCTCCTCAGAGTGGGCACGGTGGAGATCAGGGCTCTGCCGCCGATCTGGTGTGGGCACCCACGAGCCGATCTGCTCCCTGGGACTCCTCGCGCCTGCTGGGCAGTGGCTCGGTGGTTTGGTGGCCGTGAGGAGGTGTTGGTGGCCAGGCAGCAGGAGCTGTGCGAGCCGAGGAGGGGAGCTGCCAGAGGACGCGGACAAAGCACTTGCCCCATTCCCCACCGTTGATCCCCTCTGCTGGGCACCCCTGAGCACCTTTTTCCTCACTGCAGGCGGCGAATAACGGCGTGAATAAGGACATCGCCATCCTGCAGTGCCATGGGGAGATGGACCCCATGATCCCCGTCCGCTTCGGGGCCCTCACTGCTGAGAAGCTGAAATCTGTCGTCACCCCCACCAAGGTCCAGTTCAAAACCTACCCTGGCGTGATGCACAGTTCCTGTCCTCAGGTCAGTGCCTCGGGGAGGGAGGATGGGGCCCTTGGGGGCTGGATTTCCCTTTGGGACTGACCCCAGCACGGTGGGTCGGGCAGGGCAGGGAAACTGCAGAGTCCAGGACACACGGGACGTGCAGCCCCTGCGCCCGGGGCGGGACACGGCCCTCGAGGAGCCCCGGAGCGACGGGCTCTGTCCTCTCCGCAGGAGATGATGGCGGTGAAGGAGTTCATTGAGAAGCTGCTGCCCCGCATCTAAGTGGAGCCAATCGAGACTGTCGCAGGGAAGGACGCCGAGGTCGCAGCCACCGATCTTTCCCCCCGTGACCTGTCCGCTGCAAACGGAAGCCATGGCACCCCACTGCACCTCCCGCCGCACCCCTGGCCCCCGCCTCTCCCCGTCTCCTCGCACCGCGTCCTCTGCAGCTGGGGGTGCCTCATCTCTCCCTGCTGCTCTTGGAGCTGAGATTGGAGCTAAGGCGAGTTTTCGAGTGGCCTTTTCTCTCCTCTTGCTCCGAGCGGTTTCTGTGGGGGTCACCATCCCCTCGACTCCCCGTTCAGGCACCACAGTGTGTGTGGGTCTGGCGCAGCGCGGGTGAGGTTTTGTTTTTGTTTTTGTTTTTTTTTGTTGGGTTTGGGTTTTTTTGTAACAGTATTAGGGGTGGGATGTGTCCCTGTGCGGCGGGAGGAGCGGTGTGGGCACAGGGCAGGGCTGGGGCACCCTCCGGAGCCCTCTGTGGCCCAGAGCAGCCCGTGCTCCTCCTCTGCCCTCGGCCCGGCCTCTCCGCGGCTGCTCTCGGCCTCCACTCAGGCGACTCACGGGTTTTCAATCAGAGCTCAGGAACCCGGGACTCTCCTGCGAGCACCTCAAGGCCCAGGGGAGAGGCTCTGCTTCGGGCCGGTTCCGCCAAAGGCTGCTCCGTTTCCCGGGTCTGGCAGAAAAACGTCCACACAGCTCCTGCACCTCCTGGCACGGGGCCCCGGCCCCCGCCCTGTCGCACACGCACACTCCCCGTCGGGCTCGCCCCGTGCTCCAGCAGCCTCAGCTGTCGGCTTGGGGCAGCTCTGCCCTCCTTGAGATAATCGCTTCCTTCCTCCTTCTCCTCCTCCTCCTCCTCCTCTTCTTGCTTTTACAATCTCCCAGTGGCGTCTCTCCCTCCCTCGGCCTGGCTCTGTGCCCTCAGAGCCCCAAAGCGCTGCCGTTTACAGCCGGTGTCCGAGCGGCTTTGCCACGGAGCCCGCCCGGCGCTGGCCCGGTCCTTAATGTCTCTTTTGCTGCTACTTCTCCTTCCCTTTGAACGTGGGCTGGCTCGGGGAGGGAGAGGAGAGGTGAGGAGAGGCCCCCTTGGCCCTCAGGGAGGGCTCCTGGCGCAGCGGAAGGAAGCAGCTTTGCTCCCAGCCATCATCTCACCAGCATCTAACACCCGGGTGCCATCGCACCCCATCCTGTGGGGCAGGGCTTCGTGCTCCCCCCCCAGGGGCTGTGGGCTCTGTTGGCCTTTTTCCGTGTACAATCACAGGTTTCCGCGGAGCCTGCGGCCGAGGCTCGTCCTTCTCGAGCGGGAGCCTGGCTGGGGCACGGGGCCAGTCCCTGGGGATGGGGCCCCGAATGTCTCCTCCAGGGGTGGGGTCCCGGCCGCCCCATCCCCTCCCGCAGGGCCGAGGGCACTCGCTGTTGAGCAGCGCTGCCCTTCTCCTCGCCTCTCCTCCATGGGCTGAGCCCACAGCACTGTTGGGCCCTTCCGGGGGCTGGAGCTGTACGTGTCTTTAAAAAAAAAACAAAAAACAAAACCAAACAAACAAACCAAACCACCACAAAACCCACCTAGCCTAAGGGCCGTCGCTCCCTCCCGCGTGCTCTGGCTCTGCGTGGGGCCACCGTGTCCTGTCTGGCCCCTTGCCCTGCGGCCTCTGTTGGGTTGCCCTGTGGCCAGCAGCGGTTTGTGGCTGGGCTCGCAGGGCTGGCACATCCCCGAGGGCGAGGGCTGCTCCGGGGGCGCAGGCAGGGGGCTCAGTGGCAGCAGCTCCGCTCCAGCCGCGTCCTCCCTCCCTGCCCGGGATGCGCAAAGCAATAACCCGCTCTCCGGAGAGTCGGATCTCTCAGACCCATCCTTGGTTGGTTTCTTGGGTTGTTTTGGGTTGGGTTTTTGTTTTTTCCACCCCCCTGACCCCTCGCATCCCTTTAGGAAGTCTTAAACCAGCAAACCTGCTGCTGGCATCGGGGCAAGCCCGGCTCTGCCCCTTGGCTTTTGGGGTTCAGTCCTGCTGTTTCTTCTACTTTTTGTCTGTTTTAAAGCTGCTGTGTCCTCCCCTCCGGGCGCTCAGTGGGTGGGGAAGGCGGGAGGGGCTGGCTGGGGTGGGAACACAGCTCCCCACGGGTTACCTGAGGGCTGGCGGACAGACAGACCGACCTATTCGACTGTGAACTGGAACCGTGTGCGTAGTGGGGGCCAGCGGGGGCCCGTGACTCGTGGCCATCCTTGGGCACGGCCACGGGTGGCCGCGCTGGCCCCTTGGCAGAGCATTCCTGCTCGCTCCCCACCTGAGCAGCACGTGCCTGGCCGGGGCCGTGCTGAGGACCCGGGAGGGAGAACGGCTTCTCTCCATTCCTCAATACAGCTTTTTTGTTTTGTTTTGTTTTCCTTCCCTCTCTTTTGTCTTCCTTGTAAATGTTTGGGGTTTTTTTGTGTGTGTGTTCCACAGAGTCAAATACAAGGTTAAATAAATCGTAAACCTCTCCCAGAGCTGAGCTGGCATCATTCGTGGCCGGGCAGGAAGCACCGTCAGCACCCCTATAACGGGGGGGGGGGATTAGCACGAGGCCCCGGGGACAGCAGCTCGGGCTGAGTGGAAGCAGAACAGAGCTGCCACTTAGAAAGTAAGAAAGTTTATTTAAAAACAAATCAAAAGCTCAATTCATAATTTAGTAGCATAAGTTATTAATCTCACTGACAGCAAACAGGGCTGACTGCGTCATCGCTGCCTAACGAGGCCGTTAAGAGCTGCCAGTAATAAATAGGACCAGTATTTGACAGCAGAGCTGGGCAGCCTTTGGCACCGTGATGATGGAAGTGGCTGCCACAGGCGATGAAGGCAAACCAGGCACCAGCCACATCTAACAGCAGCCAGGCAGAGCCGGCCGTGCCCAGGGCTGGCACAGGAGCGCGGGGGAGATGAGGCTTGGTCCCCAGAACTGCCCTGGGGGGCAGGGGAGAAGGTGTGTTGAGGGAGGGGAAAGCCCCTGGCAGGCATCGGGGCCTTGGCCCTGGGGAAATGAGCCGTGGTGGGCTTGGGATGGGTCTGGTCCCCGTGGGGGGTTCCTGGGGCTGTGAGGTAGGGGCTCAGTAGCCCAGGGCAGGGGGCAGCGGGTGCCCCGGGGAATGGGTGGGTTCCTCAGCAGTTTGGGCTCGGCAGGACTTGTGTGTTTTAGTGCTGGATGTGGCCACCTGCCAGGGCAGAGGGAGGGCCCAGCCGAGCACCCCCTCCCTGCTGGGGCCAGCACCAGCCCCTCTGCATTCCCACGAGGTGGTTTTGTGCCCTGGGTGCCGAAGCTGGGCCCTGGCTCTGTTCTTCCTTGGGTTTCTGCTCTATGAGATGCAAAGGACCTGGAGGAATGAGGATGAGGAGCGGAGAGAGACTGGGGGGGTGCTCCTGCCTTCCTGCCCCCATGCAAGAGGCAGGAGGGGGAGCTGGAACTGCAGCCAGGATGATGACAGCCCCGGGGGGGGCTGGTCCTGGAGCAGCCCACAGCAGCCAGGAGAGCCCTCGGGCCACAGCTCAGTTCTTGCTGAAGCCTGTGGGATTCTGCAGCTGCCACCGCCACAGGTCCTCGCCTGCAAGAGGGAGAACGGCGGTGAGGGGGGGGCCAGGAGAGGGGCAGCCAGTGGAGCACGGCCTGTCGAGGAAGGGGATGATGCTCTTACACATCTTGTCCAGGCCAAAGGCAGCTTTCCAGCCCAGCTCGCGCTCGGCCAGCGCCGGGTTGGCGTAGCAGGAGGCCACGTCTCCCTCCCGCCGGCCCGTGATCTTGTACTTGATCTGCAGGGAGAGCAGCACCGTGGGGCCTGGGGGCTCCCGGGGCTCAGCAGAAGGGACTCGCCTGGGCCCCAGGAGCTGAGGGAGCGGGTGCCAGTGGCTGCTGCAGTCACAGGCCCAAGGGCTGCCGTGGCAGGGACAGCTGGGGGTGGCCTGTGGGAGCAGCTGGCTTTGTGCCCACGGCCCTGCAAGCCGCAGGTTAGACCTTACCTCCCTCCCTGAGGCTTTCTCCATGGCCCGGACCATCTGCAGGACGGAGTAGCCGGTGCCTGTGCCCAGGTTGTAAATCTGGGAGGAGGACGAGGGAGGTGGGTCAGCTGCTTTTGTGAGAGCAGAAGGGCCAGGCCCCACTTTATCATCCCTAGGGCTGCGAGAGCCTGGCCCTGAGCGCATCCCACACCCCAGCCCTCTTGGTACCTTGCAGCCACAGTTCTCCTTGAGCTTCTTCAAAGCAGCGATATGGCCCTTGGCCAAATCCACGACGTGGATGTAATCCCTGACGCCTGTGGGGACACAGGAGGTGAGCACAAAGCCCTCCCACCCGGGGTGCAACCAGGCTGAGGAGCTGGGGTGGCTCTGCTCCACCCATTCTCCAACGCACCCGTTCCGTCGTCCGTCGTGTAGTCATTCCCGAAGACGTTCAGGAATTCCCGGCGCCCCACCGCCACCTGCACAGAGGGACAAGCCCGTGGGAGCTCCCTCAGCCCGTGCCCTGCACAGGCACCACGAGCCCAGGGCTCCTCAAAGGCTGCGGCGGGGCCGTACCTGCGCCACGTAGGGCATGAGGTTGTTTGGGATCCCCTGAGGATCTTCTCCGATCATCCCAGACTCGTGGGCACCGATGGGGTTGAAATAGCGGAGGAGAACGGCATTCCAGTCCTGGGGGAGACACACAAACGTGGCTGCCCGGGGAGGGTGCAGCGCTGTGTGGTGCTGCGGGGTCACCCCCGAACACTCCACTGGGAAAAGATCCCGGTTCCCAGCCCTGCGGGCAGCTCCTCACCCTTTCTGCTTTGCAGAGATCTCGAATCATCTCCTCAATAAAGTACTTGGATTTGCCGTAGGGATTGGTGCAGCCTCCAACCGGGTGGTTTTCATCCAGGGGCAGGTATTTGGGGTCCCCGTAGACGGTGGCGGAGCTGCTGAACACGATGTTCCTCACGCCGTGGGCCCTCATGGTCTGGGGAGCAGGGACCAGCCGCCACTGAGCCAGCAAGTTCCGCCCCCTCCAGCTCAGCCCACCCAGCTCCCCCGTGCGGCACCCTCACACCCCTGGGAGCACGCAGGGACCAGGCTGGCAGCCAGCGCAGCCACCCCAGAGCAGGATCGGGGTCACCCAGCACCCCCGCTGCCCCCAGCACCACGTGCTGCCCCCCGGCTCTGCTCACCTCCAGCAGCTGGATGGTCCCGGTGAGGTTCACCCTGTAGTACTCCAGGGGCTTCTGCACCGACTCCCCCACTGCCTTCAGCCCCGCAAAGTGCATCACGGCTGAGAAATGGTGCTGCAGAAGGAGAAAGAGCTTGGCGTTAGCACCACAGCAACGGGAGGAGCCAGTCAGAAGTCTCCCCAGGAGTTTCATTCAGCCAGCCTGTGTGATCCCCACGGCCCAGAGAAACATTTGCTGGTCACAGCATCGTCCTCCCTGCTCAGCTCCTGCATCTCCCTCCTGGTTCCCACCCCCAGGAGCCCACAAAACCACCTTGGGGCACCACAGCTTTTATTCTCACCTTACTGAAGAGCTCCTGCAGCGCTGCCTCGTCGGTGATGTCCAGCTCCTGGAAAAGGATGGGCTGGCGCACGATCTGCTGCACACGCCGGAGGCTCTCGGGGAGCGCGTCTGCCCCTGGGGAGATGGAAGGGGATGGAGGCACGGGGAGAGCTGGAGGTCCCGACACGGGCCGAGCCCCTTGCTCGGGAAGGGAGGAAGGCTCTCCGTACCTCGGATGGCGTTGTGGAAGTTGTCTATGACCACAGGGACATAGCCAGCCTCCACCAGCTCCAGCACACAGTGACTGCCGATGTAGCCAGCTCCGCCGGTCACCAGGATCTTCTCTGCCATGGTTCCCTGGGGGAGGAAAGGCCCTTCCGTGAGAGCATTGTGTGAGGTGAGGTGGCCTGGGGTGGGCACGACAGCCGGGGGCCTGGAGAGGGAAGGGACAGGCAGGACTTGGACACTGTCACGTCAGCACTGCCTGCAGGCACTCCCTGCGTCCGCCATGCGGGCTGGGCAGGCTGCAGCACACCCTGCCGATGTGGTTCACACCTCCAGGACAGGGAGGGCTTATCTGACACTTGTCACATGCCTGGGAAAAACCCTTGTTCTTCCTGTTAAATCCAGCCAAGATCCTGGTGTCACCCATTCCCTCAGGCTAATTCACCCCTAAGCACAGGGGCAGGGAGTCATCTAATGGTATGAACTTGGGTGCTCTCCTCAAGGGGCATCACCTCTGCCCTCTTCCCCCATTCCCTGTTTTTTTCTCTCCAGCTCTGAAATTCCCTCTCTACAACAGCCCCAGCACTCCCTCCAGCCTCCCTTCCTTTGCCCAACGCTGGCCCAGTTCTACCCATTTCCCAGGAAGGTGGGCACTTGGTCACTGCTGACTGCGGGGGCATTTGCTGGCGTACACAAAGCGGAAACCTGAAAAGTAACCTGCAAGAAAGCCCCTCATCCCTGGGAAGCGACAAGCAGGTCCTGCCCAGTGGGAAGGAGGCAGAATCCACTTTATTACCAAGGCAGGTGGAGGCAGCACAGGGAAAGTTTTCTCCCTGGATGACTTTAGGCATTCTCTGAGCTCCGTCTAAGTTTGAAAACTAAACTGAAATCACTAAACCATCCTAGTCTGTGTCTGCTGCCGGCCTCAGGGCTGCTCTGGCAGCCGGGGAGGGCAGCTCCAGGCAAGGCCAGAGCCTGAGTCGGGCAGCTGAGGGCTGGAAAAAACAAAATAACGCTGCTTTCCCGCAGGCAGGTGAGCAGGCAGCGGGACGGGGCAAGGGCCTGTGGGACAGGGCGAGGACGTGGCACAGCCATGGCGCGGGGCTACCTGCGAGGCTGCGGCCACCCACGGGGCCAGGGACACCCGCGGGTCTGCGCTCGGGGCCGGGAGTTACCCGAGGAGCCGGGACCAGGGCTCCCTGTGGGGCCGGGGGTCCCTGAGGGGCTGCGCATCGCCCGGGGGGGGCGGCTCCAGGGTTTACCTGAGGGGCCGGGGGTCCCTGAGCGGCGGGGGGACCCCCGAGGGGCGGAACGTCCCTCCGGGACCCCCCTGCCGAAGGCGGGCACGGCTGCGCGTCCCTCC